AGAGAGATACTCCATAATTGAGATACTAACAAATTCAAACTATAGCATGATGGCTTAAAAGAAAAGGATGACGTTGTCAACATGAAATATATTTCACTGTCTATAGTTCATCATTGAATTTTATTTTAGAATTGTTTCTTTTTTATTCTAAGATATTTCTGGAATGTTTTTTTTTTACAGAATCCACAATATTGAACAACTTATAGGCTTTTCTTTTTGAGAGTATTGAAAAAATCTCATCGTGCTACGAATCGTTACAAGTATAACTGAAAAAATTAGATGCTAAAATAGAATGTATCCTTATTCATTGAAAATTTTATCAAGTTAATAATCGTTTTAGATATTCTTCTAGTAAATTTCGAACACAAATATAAACATCTTTGGACATTATAAAGCAAAACATGCCAAAAACAATGTGTTTTCGAACAAATAAAATTATATTTGTCCCATTTCTTCATCTTTCCAGAAAAAAATTCTTACTTTTCAATTGAAGTGAAATTAACAGTTTCGAACTGACAAAGTTGAACAACAAAGTGCAACAATTGTTTATTAATAAATATTTTATTTAGTTTATGGAATTTGAAACATTGATAGTTGTTGATTTCGGTCTTTTTTCTTTTAAATTATTCCAAATATTCCTTGCAGCAACTATTGAAGATGAAGTTGTAAATATTCTTGCAATATTCATCATATTTTTTTATTATTTTTAATACTATTTGTTAAATTTCTTTTAAAAATTAGAAATCGATAAAAATTATTTCTTCTATCAATACTGTAGTTTATTTTTGAATCAACTAACTTGTTTGATTCTCATGTAAGAACATAAAGAAAAATATCAAAAAAAGGCTTCTATTTCCTACTAAATATCAGTTATGATAGCTTATATTTAGACATGCATCGAATCTATAGGATTTGCATTTTGTGCATGTAATTTACTATGCAACAAAGCCAAACCGAAATCTTTAGTGTATTCCTACTTATCTTTAATATAAGATATACATAGAAAGAGTTGAAACAAAAAATATCGAAACTAAAAACGTCGAAATAAAAAACTGCTAAAGTAAAAATGTCGATCATAAAAAAGATCGAAAAAAATGGTCGAAAGAAAAAATATCGAACGTACAAAAATGTCGAAAAATTTGAAGATGATGTAAATAGGTAATTTATTATTTAGTTGTATCTCCAAGATCAAGAAGCTCAATACAGACACACATTATTACAATTCAATGCTGGTGCTCATGGTCGGTAAAAAATGGCATCGACCAATGCAACACAACACAACACCGTATTAATACTTTAAATGAACGCTATACAAACAATGAAATTGATCTTAATCAATTATTGAATGCTTTGTCATTAACTGTAGCAAAGCAAAACAAATAAACTTTACTATCTAACATGCATTCTTACTTTTGCGTCACTTTTGTTAATTCCTCTATTTCCCACAATATCACTTGTGTGTAGGGCCCATTAGGTCTGAGACCAAAAATTTTTAGATCCGATGGGATATAGCCACTAAATATTAATCAATCAGGTCTAAATCCAACAATTTTGGTCGACTGGATCTGGATCTGAATCCACAAAAATTTTACCAGTCGGGTCTAGATCCAAGAATTCTTTAGTCAGATTCAGGAATTCTTGGACCCGATGACCTCTAGTTGTATTTGGTTTTTAAAAATATTTCTCTCTTTTCAAAACATCAGTAAAGTTATTTACATCTAAATAAACTAAACTATTGTATACTAACATTTTCGACATTTTTTTCTTTCGACGTAACCTATTGTTCGATGTTTTTTTTTTTGCTTGACCTTTTTTACGCCATTCTAATATAATACTCAGTTAAAATATACGAAAAATTAGTAAGGTTTTAATACTACCTTCATTTCATAAAGCGAACATCGAACATGTGAAAACTACATACGAAAAAAAAGTGAATATTAGTATTTAAAACTGAGACGATTCTATGAAACGAGAAGTCAATTCATATTGTATACTTTTTGAACAGTGTCGTATGATTGTATTGACTTAGTTCTTATTGGTAATTTAATGATTGACGAAACGTCATGATTTATCTATGAAGAAATTTGACTATCATTAAAGGTCACCATATTCACCATTGACTGTTTAACATTGTCGTTGCTGCCAATGTCGGACATGATAGAAAACAAATATGTATATATACATATATACATAGATAGATATCATTACAGTACATTATTACATACAACCAAACATGAGCTATTCAATTGTTAATATTCTTGACCTATCTGATGAGATGTTGCTTGCGATTTTGAACAAACTCAATAATATTGATGTATTATATTCATTCATAGGAGTCAATCGAAAACTCGATAGATTGGCTCGTGACATTAGTTTTGCACAATCTATTGATTTAGTAACAATATCATTAAATGATCATGATGACTCAAGAACTAAATCAATACTGGATCGATTCTGTTTTGATATAATACCTCGAATTCAACACAATATTCAATGTCTTACCTTAGATTCATTGTCAATAGATCGTGTCTTTTGCATTAGTAATTATCCTAAACTTCATAAGCTTACTCTTGTTAACCTCAAATTTGCAACAGCTTCTCGTATTTTCAATGGTATCTTATTTGATCTCTTAATTTCCAAATAAAGAAATTAAATATATCAATTTATTTATTGTATATTTTTAGAAGATTCACCGTTGATTTACCTCTTTAAACATCAGATTTCAGACCTTGCTGTAACAATTAATGATGATTGTAGAAAGGACGAATGGCTACCGAGATTATCGACACATATTTTTGTCGATATTTGTATTATGTTTACAAATTTAACTCATTTCCATTTTGATTTAATAGACAGATGTCTGTATCCACGAGCATTACTTCATGATTTATCACCTACAATATGTTATTCTTCAAGTATTGTTCATTTAAATGTTAAGATGCAGAATTTTGACGATTGTCTTTGTTTACTCGATGGCAGTCTTAGTCAATTACATACATTTATTGCTTATGTCAATCGTATTCGTGATACGTCAATGATAATCAATAATACGGTAAGATATTTTAAATCATAATAAAGGAGCTTGTTTATTTCGACTCGTGACAGAACAATAAAGCAATTATATATCGAGAAATAAACTATTGAAATAATATGTACTTATTTGAAAACACGAAATTGATATAGCCATATTACTATATAATCAGTAACTTAGAAGATATTAAATGATTTTACAAAAGGATGACGACAATAATTAATGAATGAAATTCTATTATTCACTTTTCCTGTTAGTATCTTTTGATTTAATGTAAGATCAGTAGATAGAAATTCTTTTTCGAATGAATTTGAAGTTATTAGAGAAAGCAAAGCCGAAACATTTTAGAAAAGTACAATAAATTAACAGAAAGATTTTATATTGTAAAATTTTTTAAAGACTATGTAAATCGATTATTCGTCAAACTTTGTCTTTAATTAGTTTCAAAGACTTTGCTTACACATAATTCAGATTGTTTCATAAAAAGAAATAGTTTATCAATATTAGTATGAAACTACATTATTTTTATGTTTTTTCTCTCTTCTTTGAAATTTCCATGTTACTTTCGGTAAAAAGACTTTTATTGTAAATAGTGTTAAAGTTTTACTACTTTAATATTAAAGATGTCGAAACAACCTATCAAATTTAGAACTAAAGTGCTGAATGAGAAGAAAATATTTCCTTAGTAGTTAATTCCAAAACTTCAATATTATAGAAATTAAATTCAGGCATCAGAATCTATTATAAGTGTCATCTGTTTTCTGTGAAAGGATGGACTAACATGTATTAAGCACAAAGATTCTGCTATAAAGTGGTATGAGTTAATATACTTGATAAAATTATCATTTGATCATTGATGGATAAGGGAGAAGGATGAAAATCGAATGAAGATAACTGCTTAATTGTTTGATTCAATTTTGAATGAATAATCAATTTGATATCGCTTACTATTTATATTAATTTTTTTTTTTATAGGAAACTCTGTCTAATCTAAAGTGCTTCTCGTTGACTTCATTTTGGCCAACATTGGAGTATGATAATCAAATTCTACCCTTCCTTCGTCATATGGCACAATTAGAAAAACTAACATTATCTCTTCTAGTTTGTGGTCGAATTTCATTTATTGATGCCACTCATCTGGATAATGATATCATTAGTAAAATGCCCTATCTGCATACATTTATTTTTGACATTGTCAGTGAGTACGTTATCGATGAAGAACTTCTACCAACGTCGAATGCTGTTCGACGTGCGCTCATCGAAAGAGGATATAATGTTGGCTGTTATATCGATTATCTTTTTAATAGAACAGGCCGATGCCATATTTACTCGCTTCCGTTTACTATGGAGCGTATACAAGAGATTACTACGAAGTTTTCTGGCGATACATTCAAGCATGTTCGTCAGGTATTTGTGCATGATTTCTTTCGTTCAGTTGAGCATGATTTCTTCGTTCTAATCTCTCAAGCATTTCCATTACTTAAACATTTGACTGTGCTCAGTGTAGTAGAACAAAAGAAGAAACGATCAAATAAACTAGATGAACATGAACCAAAATTTTCAATTGTTGAATATTCTCATCTTACGACACTCGACCTTAAGACGTCTCATGTCGACTATGCGAAACAATTTCTTCTTGACTCAAACACACATTTACCTTGTCTCAACACACTATATATTGACTATGAAAAGTTGGCAAATGTTACAGAAAATTTTACAAGTGATACTGTTCATGCTAACTGTGCAAAATTAGAAAACATTATTTTCTTTGGACTACCAAGAATCGTTGAAACAAACTTCTTTAATTATTTTCCTTTTGTTGTAAATTCCTTTTGGGTGTAATTCAATTATCATATTTTGTTTAAGTAGCAATAAAAATAAAGCAATGAGACCAAAAAATTTTATTCATAACAGAAAAAAAAGAAGACGACAATCAATAATAATAAAAACAGTTTATTGTTTTTTCAGTTTAATTTTGAACTTGAATGAAACATTTAAGAGTTTCTTCATCAATGAGTTGTTCATAATAATTTGATAAATGATTGATGTTAAATGAATGTGTTATAATGAATGTTGGATCAATTTCACCAGACAATACTTTATGTAAACATGTTGGCCAATATTTTTGTGTGTGAGATTGCCCACCAATAATACGTAAGTTTTTTTCCATTATAAGACGAATAGGAATATGATTAATGACATTATTATAATCACCAATAATTGAAATTGTTCCACATTTTCGAGTACATGCAATAATTTCAGTTAATATATCAACATCAGCTGTTGACTGAAGAGAACGTTCATCTTTATAAAGTAATGATTTACTATAATTAAAATCAACAGCTTGTAATGAACAATCAGCACCACCAGGTACCATTTCAAGTAATGTTTTCATCGTATCACATTCTTTAACATTAATTGTTTCAATTTGTAATGATTGATGAGCAATTTTAAGTCGTTTAGGAACATAATCAATACCAATTATACGTTTAGCACCAAGTATTTGACACCAACGTGCTTGGAGTAAACCAATAGGTCCAAGACCCCAAATAGCAACAATTGAACCTTCTTTAACATTTCCAATATGACATCCATGAAATGCTGTTGGAATAATATCTGATAAATAAAGAGCTTTATCATCTGGTACATCATTTGGTATTGGTAAACAATTAATATCAGCAAATGGTACTCGAATATATTCAGCTTGTCCACCTAATCCTGCACTTTTTAAACATGAATGTCCAAAAAGGGTAACTTTTTTTTGTTGATGAAGTTTTTCTTGAAGTTTTGATGAATAAATTGTATCACAGACAGCATATTCTTGACGTTGACAATATTCACAAAAACCACAAGCTATATTAAATGCAACAACAACACGCTGTCCAACGTATAATTTAGTAACTTGATCACCGACTCGATGAATTACACCCATAAATTCATGACCAAGTATATCACCATTATCCATATAAACCATTGTTTTATTACATAAATTTGGATTACAATCACATATTGTTGTTGCAGTTACTTTTAATAAAATATCACGTGGATCATCAATCATTGGCATTGGTTTTGTAGAATATTGAACATGTAATTGTTGAGACCAAGTAATAAAACATTGTTGATGTGTTTCATTATATTTTGATTCAGGTCGATTCCTATAATTAATTAAACATTTTTCAATTATATATACAAACTACTTGATTAAAGTAATTTACCATGTTGTTAATTTTTCTTCTCCTTGATGAAACAATTGTGATGAAGGATTCATTTGTGGTCCACATCTAAAAATAACAGCAATGTTATTTACTTATCGATATAGACAAATGGTTTTTAAAACATATCTAGAAACATGCGGGGCGAATGTAGAAGCTTTTTTGTATTTTCACTTTTCAAGCTTTCTATCTTCATTATTTTTGAAAATAGAAAAAACGTTCCCTCGCAAATAAATATAGAGCAAACATTTTTCTTTAATTTGCCGTTTTCAGATTTAAAAAATCTCGTCGAGAACAGACTCTACAGCAATTTTTCAGAGAGCCCTAAGGCGTTCTCGATTCACCCCATTTCGGGTAAATGAAGAATCAATCATTGTATACTGGGGTGAATATATAATTATAGTTAATTTCAGCTTTAACAATAAAATCAAAGTTTCTCATCAATTTTTACTCCGATTTCGATCAATCATTTCTCTACAATCCTATCCTAGTTTCATCAATTAGATCTCAGCTAAATCCGAGTATGGTACTTTTTTCTAGAGATCCTGAGGAAAAAATAATTATACATTCACCCCATATGGGGAAAATGTATAACACCAGCTATTTTGGCTGGATGTAGTAAAATCAAGTTTTCGAGTATATGTTTATGTTTTTTGAGCTCAAGTCCGCTACTAAAAATGTTCAGTTCATCGAGTTCTATAAGACTATACTAACTTTATCTCTTCAAGACGAGTCTATAACTTTCTTATGAGCAGAATCCGGCAAAAAAATCCAAAGTTTTTCTTTGAATCTTGGAGTTTTTGATAACAAAATTCGAGTTTGTTACATTTTAAGATAACGTGGACAGTCTTTGTTAATTCTAACCATGAAAGGAACATCCTATCGAGTTTTCATAGAGTTCAACGAGTATACAAAGTATGATGAGGCTTGTTCAAAAGTTACGAGATTTAATTTTGAACAAGCTTAGGCTTATTTTAAGCTCAATCGATTAGTTGTCACAACTATGTTCTTTTTCTTGCTGTTAGGCAACTTATGGAAAGCTGAATGTCTTTTTTTGCACCCGAAGCAATTCTAGTCGGGACGCCTATTATTAGAGAAAGGTAATTCAAACTTCGACATGCATATCCTTTTTTTATACACGACTAAATATGGTTTATTTGAATGGAAGAAGTTAAGATGAAGATAAATACAGACAAGCTATGGTTATTAAATTCTAAAAAGATTTTCATCAAGATTATACAAAAGTAAAATCACGTAGGTACTTGCACATTATTTGTTTTCCTGCGAATACAAGAACAAGAAAGATTAGTTGTTATTAACAGTTGATGGTAATATGTATTATATACTGCTGAAAATAACCAATATTAGTTGGGGGAATAGATGGCGATTGACTTAAACACATCAGTAGCTATTTGAGGGCTCAGTCATAAGGACCCATAGACTCAAGTACGAGGTGATGTGGGGGTAGACATTCTGCCGCTTTACTATTCAATCAGCATTGGATCACAATCATAAGCTCGAAAAAGGCGCAGCGTCATGTGAAACTATTTTATAATTATTTATAAACAGATACTGAAAGTTCGAAACATTAACACCTACATCTATCAATCGTTCATTCACATGAATCAGTCGCAAAAAAGTATTCAATGCATTTTTAAATTTAGCTTGATCTATACTATTGTTAGTTTGAAACTACTTTTGTTTCTAT